CTCGCTGGCAGAGAGGACTCCGGGGCTGTTTTGGACAGCAGGTCCCGTTCCCCAGGGTGGGAGCACACCGCTGACACCGCGGGGCCGCTGTATGCAACCGGACTCACTCTGCACAAAACGGGAGGAAACAGCCACAAAATCCAGTTTCCCAGGGCGACACTAACTGGCTGTAGCCCTTTTCCTCCCCTGCATTTTCCTACCTCAGTTCTCATTGCCTTCACGTTCAGCAACAGAAAACAGCGATGCAGAAGTTCTGGTCCAGTCTCAGTTTCCCACAGTCTGTCCTGTAAAATAGCACAGTTCAAGCCCTCTAGGCAGAAGTAGCATGCAACCTTATAATCTAGCAATACCAGATACACAGGTAAAGGTGGCATCTTTCCTTTTCACACACAACCACCCTTTCTCAAGCTTGCCATCAGTACTATCATAATGAAAGGCCACGAAGGCTTCACCACCACTCCAGGTGAAGCCTGCAGCACACCAGCACACCCAGCAAGAGGCCTCACTGACCAGTTGATTCACGTTTGTGACTTTCCCTGCAGACAGCGTGCACAGTCCACAGGCTGTGATCCCAACCATGGGCAACCCAACCAACTAGGGAAAGGGTGGGGCAAGGAAGCTAAACTTCAGCTACTGCGACTGGGGAAAGAGAAATTATTTCCTACTTACTTCCCTAGCCCCTGGGCCAAAATGTCACTTTTGTGACAAGCAGCACTAACAAAGTGTTTAGTATCCGTCTATAAATTGCTTCAAACAAAACAAAACCAACCAACCAAAAAGATACTAAGTATCATTCCCTCTAATCTAATTCCCTCTGCAGAGTGTGGGACAGGAGCACACAAGTTGGTGACAAACACAAAAGTCAATTAAAAGAAAATACAAGACTTTTAAGTCCAAGCCCATGCCACAAGGTTCAAAATAGTTTATCTAAAACAAAAGCATGCCTGTATCACACAGACATATCTGTCAGGAGAAAGACAACAAACTGACCAAACCTACGGGGAAGGAAGGAATGCCAGGAGTAATGCCACAGTGTGCCAAGCTGTAGATGGTGATACAAAGAGGACATAATACATCTGATGTATTAGTTTTTGGAATGCTTGTATTTTATGTGACTTGTAAAAAGACTGGAAGAAAAATAGTCTCCTGTCTACTGAAGTACTGACTGTGGAAGACCGCAAAATTAATACACACCCACACGCTTTCCTATTCTTTTAATACTAGATTTTCCTCACCTGACTTCAAAAGCAGAGGAACCACTACCAAAAAGTGACATATTACAGCTCCAGTCCTGAAGTAGATTGACTCCTTGCATCTGTGTCACACAGAGCCACTACTCTCAGAGTATTGTAACTGAGCACAGGACCTCCAGGCTAGATGACCCATTCTCCATGATTTAAACGCTAGATTCTCCCACCGAGGTGCTGTGACTTCTTATTTTATGACAATATAGTAGTGGTACAGCTTGCCAATTTTACATGTTTTGCTTTAATCAATGGTAAACCATATATCCATGTGGCAAAAGACTTGAAAGTCAAGGAGAATAAAGCAGAACAAAATAATAGAGACAACATTCAGATCTCTCAGTCAGAACTTATCCTGAAGGCTAAATAGGAACAAGTAAGGGATAAATTGGATTTTGTCTTGTATGTTTTTAAATTTTCAAGACAGGACTTTCTGCCTACTTTACTATCACTAATAATTGCACAGCTATGCAATTTCCAGTGGTTGTCTGAATTGCACTATTGATAGGAAGCATTAATCCTTCCCCAAGAACAGGACTCTTCCTTGCTTTTAGTAAGAGAACAGCAAGTAAGGGGTTTTATAGAGCCTGAGAAACATTTAAAGATATTTCTTCTTTTCTGTATTAACTATTCCTAATGCTCCTTCAATTTTTGCTGATTATCTTCCTTTCTCTTAAGCCAAAGGAAGGGTTTTGGTCTACATAAAACTTTATTTTTTTTTCCTTCGAAGTACCAAGCCTAACTCTTTCCTCTTGTTAACTTGTCTTACACAGATGTAACATCCACAGCTCCTCTGGTGTTACTGCTCTATTCATGCTTTTGAAAGCATGCAAAGAACCAAGTCTAGTCTCTTCAGATGAAGAAACCACAGTCGTTCTGTGCATCCAATACATGACAGTAAATGGATTCCTAAATGACTGCCCTTGTGACAGTTGTCCTCAAAAAGCACAAAGGAAAGAAAGCTAGGGGAAAAGAGAAGGAAAGTGGGAAGAGCAAATGAGAATATAGTTTTACACTACCATCTAAATACCATGATTGTCAGATCCTTCCAGGTAGACACACTATGGAAGAAAAGAGAGTCAGGAAATACACTGCATGCATACCTCCAGACAGTACATCTAAGGAAGGATACAATGCTGCTGTGCTACCGGTCTTCTGGCCTCATCGGTGGGG